TCTGGTTTCTGATAGCGATGTTTTTGAGACTATGCTAATGAAAAGTGACTGGCATGAAGCAAGTCAGCGAGAAGTTGAACTGCATGAAGTGGACAGTGATGTCTTCGCACTAATCCTCGAGTTCCTCTACACCGGACAAATCCGTCTACATATTGAGAACATCATGTCTGTATACCAGATTGCTGAGAAGTACAACTTTAAACGTCTCAAACAATGTCTTTGTAAATTCCTTCATAAATTTGTATTGGAACGCTACCAACAGGGGAAACTAACAGCGCCAGAAGCTGCCGCGATCTGCAATGCCTTTGCAGCTGATACTTCAATGCATCCTGGATTGAAATGGGTCTTACATTGGATCGGTGTAAATTTCTCTAGTTTCATTGAGAGTTTTGAGTGGCAGAAGTTATCAAAGACTACCGTCCTCATGCTTCTCAAGAAAGATGAAATTGGAGACAGTGAGCAAAAGATCTTTGTAGCAGCCAAAAGATGGTTGGAGTTTGATAGCTCGCGTACTGAAACACCAGAGCAAATCTACGAAGTATTGCAGCATGTTCGTCTGACATTTCTTTCTGCAATAGAGTTATACGCTATTGAAAATGACCCTATTGTAGTAAGGTGTGATCCAATGGTGAAACTTATTTTCGATACCATGCGGCGGAAAGTTTATGAGGGCGTGCCAAACTTTATAGGTAAATACGTGACTCAAAATTGGCTGAAGCGTCGAGGTCGAAATAAACTAACGTACTGAATATAAAATCTGTTATACTTTATATATATTGACTTTCTTTATATTTTTTTTCTCTTTCGTAGGAGTTTAACCCACTTTTATTTCTTTCTCTTTTTGTTACTTTTCTTTTTTTTCTGCTTCTAATACATATTTAAATGAAAATGAATATACAAAATAAAAACAATTGCACTTAAGAGGGGTCAGTCGACAATGGCTGACTATCTTTCTTTTTTTTTTTAACATCCTTCTACTTGTAATAATTTCTAAATATTTTTTACCAAAATGTAATTAACATTATTAACATCGTACATTTAAAGAATTTTCATAAAAAAAAAAAAACATATTTATATACATATACACTGTATAATATTAATTTCTGAACGTTTATTGCGTAAATAGATACCGTATATAAATATGCTAAATGTATAAAGATGATTTTTTACGTACGGTATAGCTACTTAAGAAAGTATAATACTTACTCTCGATTTTTCTAGTCCAAGAAAATATCAGTGTTTTTCTCCCCTTGGTCTATCCATTTAATTTTTGCTCGTATTTGAGCTCCTGTTGCCTGTTTATGATAGTATTTTTCAAGGTCTTTCGTTTTTATTTCAATTTCTTTTTCAATGTTTTCACTATGCTGAGATGGAAGTTTTTCATTGAGAATTTTTATTTTATTTTCAATTTTTTAAATTTTGATATTATTTTCTTTACTTTTCTTTTTTCCATAGAACATCGAAAATTCTTTTATTTTAATTTTAGTTAACTCCCATTAATATATAGGATCTAAGCTGATGTCGCTTTTAGATTTTTCGATTATTTATCTCTAATAAAATTACTCCTATCTTTTTGATCGTTAGGCTACTAAATATCACATAATAAATATCGTTTATCATTGGCAGTGAAATTTATAAGGACATGCCTTCCACATGCATCAAGATCTACGGTATTTATTTTTACCTCGAGATATTTCCTAAAGAGTATCGGGACTCCTTTACAGAAGCTGGTTCCTAAACTGTGATGACATGTTCCTTCCCACAGGAAGTTAAAGCATTTTATTTTATCAACTGTCAGATGTGTTTCTTGTAATAAAAGAATGTCTGCACCTTGGTTGTGAGCCCATTTAAACACCTGTCTCTGTTTAAGGTTATCTCTGATACCTCGACAATTTAAGGATATAACATGGAGTTGCAAAGACATGTATATTAATGTTTGAAAAGGTATACACTGTACCGTATATTACAATATAAGTAGGTCGTTTTAAGTGTAAACGTAGCATATATTTATAATAATCATTCCATCAATAAAAAAATATCACTACTAATATTAAATAATAAAATTAATAATAATAATAATAATAGTAATAATAGTAATAATAATAATAATAATAATAATAAATAATAATTAATATTACTATCCTCATTACGATCACCACCGTCGCCACTACCGTCGTCATTAATACTAATAATAATAACGTAACAACAACCACAATAATAACAATAGCAGTAACAATAACAATAATAGCAACAATAATAATAATAATGATAACAATAACCGTAATCATTGTCATAGCAGTCGTCATTCGGTCAATAAAATCGATAAACATAATATTTCTATAGATATACTAGTAAGCTATGATGATTATTGTTGTACATTAATAAATATGATAATGACTAGGTAATGATTTGATATTAGGCATTATTAACTAATATTTATAGACATAGGCTGTATGCACATTGTTTGTTTGCGTATCAATTCATTTATTTTTCTTTGTTTTCTTACTTTTACTTGACTTTCTTCTTCTCTTTGATCCAGGCATTCCAGGGGATATTTCATTCGCATCTTTTTTCAAGTCCTCCATATCTTTTGAGTTCATTCTTTCTTGTTCCTTGGATTTAGTAGTGTCCGTAGGTGTCTGCTTCATGAACTGTGTTATTTTCCCTTGTTTCTTCTCATTTCTCTCTTTTGTTTGATTTTCTTTCTTATCATCACCCTCATCGTCTTCCTTTTCGGTTTCCTCATCGCTGGAATGGGAGCCGTTACTATTTGTGTCTGCATCCTTTTTTTCTATTACTCGCTCCCACATTTCTTGTATTAGTATCTCACCTGAATTATCATGAAGCAGTTTCTCAGCGCTACACTGATCTTTTCTATGACCTTCTAGGCCACATGCATGACATATCAGTTTATTATTGCATGTTTTGGCGTGCGTCCGCTTTGTAGACATTTCGAACATTTCAAGCGATCCTACCTGACCGTCATGAAAAATTCTGGCTTTGAATTTATTTATACTCTTGAACCTAGGCAACGGTGTGTTGATGTTATCTGAGTATAGCATTCGGTCTCCGTTCAAACAGCTTGTTAACTGTTCGTCAACTCTAAGCTTCATACGTTGAATATTACCGGTTACTTTACAATTAAACTTTGAAAAAGCAATTATGATTTCTTCATCCGAAACGGATAGTGGCAGATCTTTGACCGTAATCCGTGTTACGTTGGAATCGTAGCCGGGTAGATACGGGTTTTTATCATATACCTGTATGTTTCGGCCTCTATTAAGTCCTGAAGTAATAAGACTTACTCTATCTTTCTGGGAATCTATATAGAGTCTCCATAGATTTTTAATCCGTTGTATGCCGGTAATACATTGATTAATGACCAGCTTTGTTAACGCTTTGTAGATTTCCTGTGACAATAATATATGGATCTCCCTTTGTATTCGCCTCATCCACTTTCATGAAAACCGGTTTTACCTTGATCGTATCGGTCTTGTTTGACGCGTCGGTGTTCACCTGATCATTTGGTGGGCATTCAAAGACGTTGACATCCTTGTTTGTTTTTTTTCCCAAAATCAGAATGTAGTTTAAGTAAAAATTAGTACTTTGGTTACCGTATTTTACTTTAGTACAAACGAATCTTCCAAATATACATTCGTGTGTGCAAAACCGTTATTAATCTTTATTTTTCGACATTTTTATCAGGAGTTGGTATAATATACGTCCGTGGACAATGGTATACCAGGCTGTTGTCCTTTATATTGATGGAATCTTAAATCTTTACATTTGAACCAGTAATTAATCGTTATGCCTGTATTTGGACATAACTATGTTGCCATAGTTAACAACGATGCTGCGATCAACGGACTCTGCCCGCTGATCCCTCTATCTTTGCACACTCTTGTACATAATGGTAATGGTAATGGTATAATGGTAGTGTGGATGATGACGATTTTACCATAAGGTAGTATGAAAGCTCACTTTGATATAGACTTGCCACAAGTCTCGAATTTATTGATTTTTCGTAGTGTTAGCACTTTTCGGAAAGCGCCACCAGCGTCAGTTTATGTCGAGAAACTTTTTTTATACAAATCCAAGAAAAAGTATCTATGAAACGCCAATCAAATAGGTAATATGATTAAGACAAAGTTTAGGGACTGGAACCCAGTCTAACTTTGATGATGATGTGTCAAGTACTTCCTGAGTATTCCTTTTAATGTTAGTGAAATAAAAATTATTAAAGGTAAATAAACATGGAAATTGATATCAGTATAGATACTCACTATATCTTACAAATTCTAGATTGTCTACAGACAAATACTGGATTTGCTTTTACACAATACAAATAAATAAGATTTATAAATAGGCCAAATAGATCCTTAAAGAACATTTGTTAAAACTACTAGTACCTTATGTTGGAAAACTTCAATTCATCCATTATACTATAATAATATTAGGCCTAATAATAATAATAATAATAATAATAATAATAATAATAATAATAATAATAATAATAATAATAATAATAATTTTCTAGCCACGCCCCACCCTTTTACACAGACTGAATTTTGGCTTTTGTATAGCTTTTCCGCACGTAGTCTCAGCTATTTGTTAGTTTTCAACCAATCAGCAGCAAGTTTCACTACTACAAACATATAAGTATTTCCCTGTTGTAGCAGATATTATTCCCCTGAAGACGATTGAAGCAACTCAATCGAAACGTCAAGATATTTTCAACCAACAATAGTTCTTTCTCAGGACTATCTAAGTGGTGTACCACAAGCATTATAATTTATATAATAATAATAATAATAATAATAATAATAAAAATAATATTAATAATAATAATAATATAATAAGTGTATATAAGTGGTGACTCATTGTATGATGTTGTATTTTCTATATTAACGAGGGCCCCTGAACATCAGCCTCCCTTCGGGGAAGTTGGAATGGCTACCTCTTTAAATATTGTTGAAATAAAACAATATAAAATAAATTCCCCGCCGGACGCCATCCCTGTATTTCTGAGTCTAGATTTCGGGGAATGAATATTATTTACGTGGTGAATCAAATCATGATACATAGGCTTAAGCTATTGATACTTAACTACAGTAAAAAATAAAATCATTTCAAAATTGTTCCATATTTTCAATAAGCTGAATGTGCAAGTTATGTTTGAATTTGGTTTACAAACGATATTAAGTTGTAAATTATTTTTCTGGCCAAAACCTGACCAGCCGGACCGCTTTCGACGTCCTTGTTCTGTCATGATAATCATCTTTATGTCCGACATATGTCAGGCAAACAAAATATGCATGTATCCCGTTTATTTTTTTTTTTTGATCCCCTATATAAATTATCCAAGAACGCTAAAGCAGAAAACTAATGCATCTTTTCCTGCCACAGTGCGGTGGAACTACACTACGATCATAACTGTATTAAAAATAAAACTAATTTAACGTGGTTTCATAAAATGAAAAATATATATACACATTTTTATTACAATACCGAAAATCAGTACAATTGTATAATAACATGGCTGAAAACAACATAAACAAATCACTGGAATATCTTGAGGAAAAGGTATTGGAATGTTCCATTTGCCTCAAAAGGCTCCAGCAGCCGAAATCTTCATAGCTTTTGTATGTCAATTTTGTGTGATTGGGTCAAGAAAAAGGGCGAGCTGATATGCCCAACTTGCTCAAAATCATATCCAATACCGGATGGCAGGCTTGAGAAACTTCCTCCAAGTACCTTTGTCAACAACTTATTACAAACTATTGAAGAGATGGAGGAAAGAGACAAACGTGAATGTAATTGTGAAATTGGCAAAAAAGCTACATGTTATTGCCAGGAATGCAGACAGTACATATGTTCCACTTGCTATGACCACCATAAGAATTTTCGAGCTCTTAAAAATCACATACTTCACCAAATAGAAGATTTGCGATCCATGACGCCCCTAGAGTTTTCTTCATTACACTGCCAGCAGTGTTCACTTCACAGTGAGCCTTTGAAGTTTTACTGCAAATATTGTAAAACCATAATATGTATGCATTGTGCTATTACTGACCATAAGACAGCGGATGGAAGTCATAAGGCCATTAATATTTCAGAAGATTGCAATGGATTTAAACAGACTGCTAATGAAATCGAAGAAGCTGCCAATTATTTCACAACCACAGTAGAAGGTGGGATAACAAAAATGCTCCTCAATACTACAAAATTAGACCAAAATATAGATACTAGTTTAAGAGATATTGACAATCATGTAAAAGAAATGTACCAGATAGTTAAGGATAAGGAACAAAAATTAAAAATGAAAGTAGTAAGGGAACATGAAAAGAAAAAGAATAAAATTGATGCCCAAGCTCATGAGCTGAGATTAACAGTATCTGATGTAAAGAGAAAATTAAATTTTCTATATCACCTTTTAAAGAGTGATGAAGCGATGGCTTTACAATCAAGTGAAGCAATTATTACAGGATTGAAAGATAGAATCAAAGAACTGCCAAGTTCAATATACAACGGAGATACACACATTAATCAAGAAATTCACTTCTTTCAAAATAAACATAAAATCACTGAATTAAAAAAGCATGGAATTGGCATTGTGAGTGAGAAGATAGCAGATTGCTTAAAAGTAAATTGTAGTAGAAATATTTGTGCGACACAATACCAAATAATTACTGTCAAACTAGTCAAAATAGAAAAATGTGAAATACATGCAAGTCAACTAGAAGCAACATGGACAGTCGAATGTACAGGAGAAACCAGTTCAAGAAGAAGATGATGGTAATTATATTGTTAAAGGAGCGTGTACAAGTATTGGTGTATACAGACTAGATATTAGTATTGATTGCGAACCAGTCAAGCATTCTCCAATAATGATAAATGTAGGAAAAAAAGGGTTACAGATGTTGTATGGTGTGATCAAGAAAACTGCTTATTGGCTGCATATTGGAAAAATGACATATTGACGTAGCCACAAAGAGAATCTGCTTTGAATATGGTATTTTAGAAGAACTATGAAGTAAGTCGGACAGGTTACTTCTATAATGAAGAGCTATTATTAGACTGGTGATACCAGTTAGTGACTTAGTATTTACAGGCAATGGCACCGTCAGCGGGCT